AGCACATCTGCACTAAAAATAATGCTGTACTTTTGCTTTTGTCAACACAGTCAATATTATGGTTTTTTGTGGTAAACACTGTTCATGAGTTGATCTAAAAAATGATGACGCTGGCAGCATTGTTCAACATTTTAGCCACAAAAGAACACAGTGTCATGCAAAACCCATATCTGCAATCATGTAAAACAGTAAAGGTTCTGAATACGCTACATGTTGGTGTGAAACTAACAGGCTGCTCCTCACACAGCGAAGAAATTCAAAGCTTCAGTAGAAATTACTCTTCAATTGCTTCTCGTGTTCGATGCATGGAGACTGCTTCACTACTGAGACGTTACAATAAACGTACTGGTCTCCTTACTTGTCTAAATAAAGACGAGGTGTTCTTCTAAAGGATGATATATATATATATTTTTTAAATAGAAGTGAGATGAACAATGAAAAATAGCTAAACTAAAATCAGAAGTGGACGTACCTGTTGCTCGGTGTCTCGCTCATATCAACTGACTGCTGCTCTGAGTTTGATCAGTCTGTAAACCATTGACACCATTATGGCTCTTATCAGCGTCTCCTAGATGAAATCTGGATCGTAAAAGATGTTGACCTAAAAAACCTTCACTTATACTCACGTTATGTTTGTCACGTTATGTGTGGAAACTGCAAAGAAAGTGTTGACTGAACTTCTGATTTACAAACGACTGCGCATTAGGGTAAATAAGTTTAATGTTAAACAAATTATTGAGGACAGTGTTTAGTTTTGCTTTTAGTGTCTTTATGAATGGCTGACCTTTGATCCTGTTGCCAGGTAACTTATTGTGATATAAAATAATAAACTGCAATCAAAACCACTGACAGTGATAAGACTGTAGAACATTCAGGAGGCTGTTGTTGGGTGTCATATGTTACTGCAGGAGGCCAAATATGAAATAAACAATTCTTCATTTAGAAATGTCAAGAAAATTGTACTTTGAAGATGATTAAATAGAAAGTCACTCGCTATGTCATGTCTGTCAAGTCTCTGTCTATGTGCGCACATTTTATGTCTCGTCTTTCCTGTTTTATTTTGAAATCACTTGACCGGTTGTTTCTGTTCCAGTTTTACTTCCTGCACCTGTCTCGTCACACCTGCTCCCTGATGGCTTTCCTGCACCTGTTTCCCATCTCCCCTCATTACCTCATGTATATTACCTTGTGTGTGTGTCACTGTCTTGTTGCCAGTTCGTTCCAATGAGTGATATGGGAAACATATGTATTTGTGATTCTTCTGACACACTGCGACTCCATATGTGATAAAGTTAGGCTTCAGTTTAATGTACATTGATTAATAAAATTGAAAATGTCAAGGACAAGACTAGAGAGTGCCCCAACTGGGGACTCCTTTGTTCTACTGGGGGACTTCAACGCCCACGTGGGCAATGACAGTGAGACCTGGAGACGGGTGATCGTGAGAAACGGCCTCCCCAATCTGAACCCGAGCGGTGTTCTGTTGCTGGACTTCTGTGCTAGTCACGGATTGTCCATCACGAACACCATGTTCAAGCACAAGGATGTCCACATGTGCACGTGGCACCAGGACACCCTAGGCCGGCGGGTGATGATTGAATTTGTAGTTGTTTCATCAGATCTCCGGCCGCGTGTCTCGGACACTCGGGTAAAAAGAGGGGCAGGGCTGTCCACCGATCACCACCTGGTGGTGAGTTGGATCCGCTGGCAGGGAAAGAAGCTGGTCAGACCGGGCAGACCTAAACATATCGTGAGGGTCTGTTGGGAACGTTTGGCGGAACCCTCTGTCAGCAGAGTTTTCAGCTCCCACCGCCGGGAGAGCTTCTCCCAGATTCCGAAGGAGGTTGGAGACATGGAGGCTGAGTGGTCCATGTTCTCCTCCTCCATTGTCGCTGCGGCCGCTCGTAGCTGTGGTCGTAAGGTCTCTGGTGCCTGTCGCGGCGGCAATCCCCGAACCCGGTGGTGGCAGCCGGAAGTAAGGGATGCCGTCAAACTGAAGGAGGAGTCCTATCGCTCATTTTTGGCCTGTGGGACT